TGTCTTAAGATAAGGAACAAGTGTTCAAGTCGAAACGTTACAGTGGGCTGGCTCTAGAAACCTTCGCGACAAAGCATGACAGCGGAAATTTCCGTTATATCTACTTATGTATAAAAATCCGCGTGAGCACTTTGGTTGCGGTGGTTCCGTTTCAGAACTTTCATTCGCCGCATACTTAGTAAAAATCTGGTGGGAGAGCGGAATTCTTTTTCGAAGAGAATCTATGCCGATAGAACGATCGCGTATATGTTTTAGCCGAATTTTCGGTGTAAATTAAAAGAGTTATAGATCTCGTAAAATAATATTGTTAATTCAAAGTTCGAACCGAAAGCTATATAAATGCGGTGTATGGAGAATCGTTCTCCTCGGAGACAGTGCCGCCATTTTTAACAACGGGAGTGCCATCTAAATTCATTAGGAGCTCTCAGAAGTAAATTAATAATGAGAAAACTATCTCAAAATATAAATGACTGTAAAATTTGAAAAAATACGTATTAATTGTATAAATCTAATAAGTAAGACTGTACAAGAATATGAAGGGTAGGTTGATAAACAGAGAAAGGTGGAAAATTATAAGAAGATGGGAAGAACTGAAAACAAGGAAGAGAGAAAATTATGGAACAATGGGGAAAGGTGAGGAGGAAGAAGAAGAGAAAAGGGGCAGAGACGGGTGACCTGAAAAATGAGAAATTTACGAAGTTCAGAAAACTGTTAAATAATATACGAAAAAAAGGGAAAGACTACCAGAAAAGTGAACGAAGGGGTGATAGTACCGATTCACCAAAAAGGTGACAAAGATCATATAAGAGAATGTTAAATTAGGCGTTACAATACAGATAGGTATACCAAAATTATAACAGAAAATGCATTTTTCATTTCCACGTGCTGTATAGAGGCTGGTGTTGTGTAATGTTATACGATAACTTTACTATTAGACACAGTATTATTCATTAAAAATCTATTGGGCAAAATTCTGCAGGCGGTGTAAAAACTACGCATCTGCACACGCTTGGATCATATTACAGTCTTGTTTAATTCACTTACATGGTGGCACAACACCTTTTCAGTTATGAATTACGTAATTGAGAAAGTACTTGTCCCAAGGGCCTTATAGTTAAGCTTTGAACCAAAGATATTACCAGTTTATATTCAAAAATCATAAAGCGGCATCGAAAGCTTAATAAAGCTAACAAAAAAAAGTTAGTAGGTATAAGTATATAAAGTATACATTACCACAAGCACACCCTTGCCTAACACAGGTGTCAAATTAAGTATTATGTAATAAAATCTACACCTGTTGTGATGGAACTAAATGGTGCTATTAGTTTACAATAAATGGAATTACATGCCGGTTATATAAAACCAATTATAAAATATGGTATGCGCGTTAAGGTAATTTTACGGAATAAACACATGGGGGACTTTACTATAATTAAATCGATTTAACCATGTTGGTGGATTTTGCTTATTTTTACCAAGAGGATTGAAATATCGTAGAACCCCATGAGGTTTAATCATGGCTGAATATGGTTTAATGTTTTATATAAATGTATTGCAGATGCTTTGCATTCTTCATTTCCTTCTAAAACTTCGGTTGCGTCGGATTCCTCAGATTACTCTTTTATGAAATTTGTATGCCTTACCTTTTAAGTTCCCGGATTTTCAGTACTACTGTTTTACTTACATTGAATTTTTCTGATCCTTAAGTGTCTTCAGGTTCCGAGTTTCTTAGAATGCACCACATTCTGCACATTAATAGGATTCTCCAAACTCTTGAGATTGTGTGTAGTTTCTAGTCTCGAATATCATGAACGCTTCAGATTTTTGGCATTATTCGCTTTTTCGGATCTTTCAGATTCTTCCGGTTCGCCGGATGTTTCAAATTCAGTCTCTATAATTTTTTATTGGGATTGAAATCTAATTTTTTTTCACAATCGGAATACTACAAGGTTTACTCATAAGATTCAAGACGCCTAATCCAAAAAGGATTTTATTATCGATATTACTTGCATAATTTCTTTCTGTTAGTAGATAAATTGGTATAAATTTTAACTCTTTTAGAGTACCTAGTGCCGGGATGAAACGTTTTTGGTCCTCGGTTTGCACTCAGCCTAATATGCGTTTCAGTTAAAATTAGAAGCGGGGTGCAAATTTAGCTAACTGGACATTGGAATATTGACACCCGAAAGTTTGACCCCCAGAATTTTTGCTTCAGGATAAGATGTGTTTCCATCAGTTACTAGAAACGTGATCCAAGGAAGTTTCAAGTTCCCAAAAGCTCGATATTCCAAAGAAATTTCCATGTTGACACTTGAAAAAATTAACATTTTAGAATTTCAGCTTCTTTAATTAATTATTAACAGATTTTTGTTTTCCAATGTTAAGCGAAAGCAGGTATTTTAGCTGCAGGCCCGTGCAGCTTATTTTTTATCGCAGACTTTTTGCGATTGACCCAAAATTCCAGGTAACAATGCGCATTACTGGGCTACCAAATTTTAAATTTTTAATCCGGCCAGTTAAGTGAGTATAATTAACCGTAATTAATTAATTGTGTTGAAGCAAATATTGGCCTTAGTCTCATTAGAAGAGCACTTAATTAACGTGAACCTCGTAACTAAATATAGTAGTTTTAATTTTTGGATGTTATCAACCCAATACGGTTACTGGCTAGGATATCCTGGTTACATTTTCACATCTTTTAGGAATTCTATATGTATAAGCGTGATTTATGGGGATCTTTTGCATTTTTCACTTTGGCCGCGTGAGTTTAAGGCATATTTTTTTTTAATCCTACTACACGGTACCGTTGAATTTCAAGGTAAAATTTTATTATTTTCTTTGCGTTATTATGAAGGAGGTTTATTTTCCGTGTTACGTTTTCTTAACCTAGTAGATACCGTTAGCTAATTTGTGCATCCGTTTTGTAAAATCGCTACCATTTCCGTGTGCTCATTCTGTTTTAGATTTTCGCCAGTGGCCGCCGGCAACTGCCCGCAAGATCCCTGGAGTTTTACGCTTCTCTGTTTCAGTACCCCTGACCGTTCCTCAAATCGCCCCTTGACTAGGAGCGAGGGTTGAAACCTCCTGGTGGCGCCCGAGAGAACCGTACCGTTCCAACGAAACTACATCACCATCTTGCAGGTAAAGTAAGTGACGCCGACGACACCTTGATTGTGGCAGGCGCAATTGAAGCGGCCACTTTAGACCAAGAGAAGTTGCCGTGCAATGGATATGGATTTACTCGCGCTTATGATAGCCGGAGCGGAGTGTTCAACCCAAATGTTTTTTTGTGGAACCAACTACATAAGAAATAAAGGTTTTTACCATACCAGACGTTCAAAAATTGGCGACACAAAAGAGACTTTGCTCTTTTATATACCAGACAGACAATTGTAGAGATAATAGAGATAATAATATACTTTAATGAACAGCGCCAAATGGATCTGTGGAACCATAACAAAAAAACAAATTAGAGATGCCACTGTAATGGTGGCATGAGGAAAAGGAGAATGATCTAAGCAGAGAAACCAAAGATGATTACACGATACACCAGCCACAAATGAGATATGTAAAATATATAAAGAGTAAAGACATGTAAAGTTAGTAATCCAGGCAAAGAAATAAACATGGGAGGAATTTGGCAAGGAAAACCAAAAATCATTTTATACTGTGTTCAAAGCATTAAGGAAAGGCAGAAACCCAACTAATATCAGAAGACAGCCTGATTATGACAAGATGGAAACAATACTTTGGCCACTAAATCGGTAGGTAATATTCTACAAATAATTACAAATCAGACAATTATATTGCAAACGCAATAGAAAACAGATATCATTTACCTACCTGTACCAGTTGAATACTGAAAAACAACACGACATTTAGCTGTTGTTTTAAATTACGAAGTATTTTAGAGAAGAAATTAGATCAGGGACGGACAACGAAGTCTAGGTAACGAGTCAATGAAGGTCTAGGGGAAATAAGAATTTTAGACAAGGCTGATGCTGACACCGTCAGCATTGCTATATAAGCGCAATTAGATTAGAAAGCAAAGACGGGATATAGGCTGATTCCTGAATAGGAAGGTTTTCATTCAATTTGCCGTAAGCACAGTTCCACTTGTTTTATCAACTTTTCGCTGTTTTAATATGTCTGGGATAGAAAAATCATGGCATGTGAACAATATATGCTTGATATTATGCCGTGCATTTTACTCATTTATAATAATAGGGCGCACAATGTACATTGTACATGTAGGTAGGTATACGAAGCCAGTTTCATAATAAAATGCAATTTTCTATTTACCACGTACTTGACAATTTGCGGTTACGTTTACGAAACTACCAGTTATTATTTATACACGTGCGCTAAATGTGCGCGACTATTGCATACCAACATTACAGCAGAGTGTACACCCCTGACACTGAAAGGTGGTAGGTATTCACTTTCACACAAAAACTACACTTACCTGCACGTTTACCGTACGACCAAATAAATGCCAGTAAAAAATACTTGCATTGAGAATCTCTGGACTGATACAGTTTCCATGTGGTAGGTGACGATGATATACATACATTGAATTCCAACTGATAAATTTACATTTGTAGTTTGTAAAAGGCTTATTTGTATAAAATAGCTCCAGTAAAAACTTCATTATGTTTGATTAATAAATACCGGGACGTTATAAAATGTTAATTGAGCATTAAAATTATACTTCAAAGCAGTATCAACTATACAAATATATTCAAAATGTTGTCTACAGTAGTTAATAAAATTAATTTTACTTTTTAATTAAATGCTTAAATAAGTAGGTATATAAAACTTTATCATTTATAATGATTGCAAGTAAAAAAAACAACAGTATTATAGATGCATTTATTGATTAGACTGAAAAAATAAATACGAAACCCGCCTTCTTGCATAAGAATGCCAAGACAAATGGAAACTACTTAAATGATGTGATGGTTCCATTGATAAATTGACAGCTTCACTTTGGTGTATTCTTCTCTACGTAATAAGCAGCTGATGTTCGTTTGCTTTGTGAGTGATGTGTCCACTGCATGATTAGTGGTTTTTTAAATCCCAAATATATTAGATGAAATTTACCTGGGCATTGTTTGCTGTTTGACGAGTGGAGCGGCAGTAGCTGTTGCTATTTGCTGTGGGTAAGTCAAATTATTTAAAACTTTGTATAAATTACCTACGTTTATGTGGGCGTGTGGGCAGGTAAGACTACTTTTAGCTAATTTTAGCAGGTGCAGATAGTTTCATTTTTTATTTGCAAATTGAAATTCAGAAATATGAAAGCAAAACAGATTCATTCAAAATTTTGCTTAGTTTGATCCTTTGCGATGTAGCTACCTATTATTATAGGATCAGTGTATGATTAGGTACCTGCAATGCTTAATAAAATGTGGTACCAACGTGAATTATTTGCTAAACGTAGAGCTTTGGGCTCTAGGAATAGGTACTTCCCTAAATAAGTAAAGGAATTTTTTATTAAAATAAATTAGTTTTAATTTGAGATAAGATACATCTGAAGTTGAAGGATTGCGCCTGCCTTATTATCTGTTTTACGCTGTTTATCGCAACCTATTGATGCCTCCAGGTACTGCGGTAGGTATGTATGCCGACTCGAATGAGATAATAAATAAAATTGAATTGGGAATAATATACAATATAAATGGTAAACATTACCTATAGAACAATGTTTTAAATAAATCTGTGTATTTTTCAAATAGGTACCTCAAGGTTTCGGTTTTTGGGTAATTTTCATTTGTTTATGCACACAAATACAATCAAATTAGATTTTATTGAATGCCGTAGTTAAAGAGCTGAGGGTGTAGAGTGAAAAACTCATGTGGTTCTAATTGCCATCTGGCTATAGGTAATTATTCTGGCGATTGAAGTTACTTTGTGGATCTCGACGTTAGTTATTTGGACGGGTTCTGCGTCCTCTCCGAGAGCGACGATTATATAGTTTTACACTTACCTACGTGAGTACCTACAACCAATGCCGGATTTACGGCTAGGCCCACAAGGCCTGGGCCTAGGGGCCACAGTGTGTGAAGGGGCCCCAGTGTGTGAAGGGGCCCCAGTGTGTAACGGACCTTGATATAAATAAACCAGCAAACGGCTGGGCTTGTCTCATCAAAACAGTCGCCAATATTATCCAATCCTAGAGGTTTAAAGCGAAACATTGTCGATGAATGAAGTTATAGAGTTTTCTTTTTTGAATCTATACAAATACTTGTTGGAAAAAGGCTTTTTGGACATTTATCCAAACGTAGGAATTGCGCTCCGAATGCTGTTGTGCACATCCGCGTCAAACTGCTCAGCAGAACGATCGTTTTCCGCGCTAAAAAGAATAGACTTTTTAAGATCTAATATAGAAAAACACAGATTAAATTCACTGACTATGACGACGTCATCCGCTCTTTCGCAGAGAAGAAAGTTCGCCGTATGATTGTATAGATTTTAAGGAACTAGCTATGATGATTATTAGAGTAATTAAATTCTTTTTTAAAATATACATTTTGTACTGTGCCTTTAATTCCCTGAATTTCTAAAATGACTGCGGGATAAGGGCCAGGGGGCCCCCAAATTTCAAGTGCCTAGGGGCCCTGGGTCTTTAAGTCCGGCACTGCCTACAACCATTTTGAATACTAGGTTATCCTGTACCTTCTTCAAGTGTCTACTGTAACTTCGAACCATCGACAATCGTTGTTATATATAACGACTTCATTTAGTTCCTCTGTTTTTTAAGAGGTAAGTTAAATTTTACCTTATTGGAGGGATTATATGTTATTTCCTTTAGGGTTTTTTTCTTTCTTGAGGTAGGTACCATACCATTCAAGTTTTACGTCCAAAAGTAGGTACAAGTAGTAAATTGCCATACGAACTTTATATTCACCTTTACCTCCGAAGTAGCGCACAATTAATAGTAATAATAATATTTATTATACCGTTATTTGTGTGAGTACACTTTATTATTTATTATTATTATTTATTTATTATCCCTCTCTTAGTTTTGGGACCTCAACAGGCATGCGCCCAATTACAGAGTGACCCGCATAATGCTACTGTGCGATCAAAAATGAGTTGCTGTCGAGTCGCCTTTGAAATTTTTGTTTACATGGAAAATCGTATTCTTGAACTTCCAAAGGCGACTCGACAGCAACTCATTTTTGATCGCCCGTTATTTAGAGGTGCTCTGCAGAAGGTCTTAAGTTGGTCTATACTACTCCGGTATTTACCTTACGAATTAGGAAAACTGCAGGAAAACCTAATTCGGAGTAGCCGGTAGAATGCTCGGAACTGGTCTAAGGTAATTTACATCTCCGCCACAGAGAAAAATTCACCTCAACCCAGGTTCGAACACCCGACCTCCGGATTTATAACCCAACGCTCTTACCACTGAGCCATAAAGCCGGTTGAACTGACACTTACGGTCGCCATTAGAAAAATATTACAAACAAAATACAAAGGTACATTTAAAGACTAACTAAGAAAAGAAAATAATAGAGCATTACTTGGGAGAAATTTTTTGAGGCCAGAGTTTAGCACAGCAAGGGGCAAGGATCTTATACTATTAGGAAAGCTGTTGTAGAGTAGTTGAAATTGGTGCACTACACCATCCTGTGTTTTAGACAGCCTACAGTAGTTAGCACGAATGTTATATTAAGCCTAGTGTCGTGATCGTGTACGACTGTACGTTACGTTACAGGATTGAGAATCGTAAATGATACTGACGCGGGTTACAAATAGATCAAAGTCCTTCAGGCATTAATCAATTACCTAATTAGATCCCGAGCCATGTGGTTTGAGATTTCTGAGTTCTTCGATTTGTTCTAGGTTTTATCGACAGAAGGTTGGAATTGAGCTCACATCAACGTCCTGCATAACTCAAGGTAAGACCTGTTCTTATATTGTTACTTGTACATGGCGATTTCCGTGCGAATTTTTGCTCGAAATAGCATTTATCTTGTTGAGATTCAGTAAATCAATTTTTTCGATCATTATTGAATCAGGAGATTTATTCATTTGGGGAATTAATGGCGAGTTTTATTTGAAGGTTTAACGTAATCGTATTGAATTCATATTTTGTATTGTGAGGGGAAACTTAATTTACATTTACCTATTAGATTTATTTTGATTATCGTTGAAGAACTCTATATCAGTCTCTTCGTATTGGATTTCATTATTACTTCGTTGGTATCTTCCCAGTTTTATACAGGGCTCGTTATTTTAAATAAACTGGATGGCCCTCAATCTTATGCAAAGAGGTTTCGAAGATTTTATGCCCGAACAAATCAACCGCTGTAAAAGTTCACAAACCTTTTTACTTTACAACCAGTGGCGTACCGATTGGGAGACGAGTTGGAAGGTAAGTTACCTTATATAAGTTGTAATTTCACACAGTGCGTCGTACTTTTTTTTATACCAGCAATTAACAATGGATTTCGTCTATATTCGTGCTGCTAAATATAATTCTTGAAATAAGGTTCCTTTGGCGTTTGTCATTTTGACATTCATCGTAAGGGGAACTCCTACTTTTCAAAAATGGACAAAGAGAATGATAATGAAGAGAAAAATGTTATTACTGGTCCTTCTGAAATAATGCAAGCGGCAACAGAAGTCATCAGAAATTTCTTCTTACCCGAGAAATCAAAGTATTAGTATACAAGGGAGCTTATAATTTTTTCGAGAATATTTTCGATGAATGGCGAAAACACAACCGTGTAGGATCCTTTTCTGAGGACATTATGCTTGTGTCCTTTCAACAATTCTCGTATAGAAAAAGTATAGTATGTAACGCGTTTTATATAAACTTCTTTAGACTCGTGTCTAAAGTGTCGTTTATAAAACTTGATACATAATATACTTAGTACTATTAAAATAAACTTTTAGTGATATTTCAGTTTTCATTATTTTAGTTTAAACATAATAATAGTAAAATTTCGATTATCTCTAGTAGATTTATTTCAAATAAAAAACTAACATTAAGACTTAACCTTTACGTGCCTTGCCTATTTATTGGGGCGGCAAGTTTGTATTTATTTTAGCTTGCCTTTATTTTTGAGTGGGCGGGGTTTCAGCCAAGACTGCTCTACCAACCCAACCCACCATACATTTACAAATGTCCATGCCCGAAAACGGATTCGAACCAGGGACCCTTAGCATCACAGTTCAGCTTTAACTGAACTGCGCAACACGGGCCCGGCACCAATGACCGACGGTACGCCACTGTTTACAACCTTGAGCTAGCTGGCCGTTTCTGCGACGGATTTGAGTCAAAGCAGCTCCAGGTTAACCCACTGCTATAGCGTTCTCAGAATTAAAGCAATGAAAATGCTCTGGGAGATTGACGAGTTTTTTCCCTCATAAACAAAGAAATGCAAAATGCGAACATTCTGAAGGTTTTTCTTGTGACAAAAGGAATGAAGTTTAAAAGTCAAATTGAGCATTTTAGTAGTTGATATTTTGTTAGATTATATTATAGTAAGTATAGGGATCTGTTTTTAGGAGGTTAATTTGTTATATTTTCATTAAATGTAATCGTAATCGATTGTAATCAATTACATTTTCGAGATACCCATAATTAAATTTTTACATCGTCGGTAGATGGGTCTCGTTTAGACGTTCGTTCTGCTCTTTGAGTTTTGAGTGTTTTGACATACAAGAGATGTGTCTCGTCCTGACGTTCCACTTGCCCTTTATGAGTACCCTCTTCCGACACTTCGTTTTCAAGGAATTCACTTTGACTCCATCAATAGATACCTATGTCTCATCCAGACAATTCATCTTACCCTTGTGGGTATGTTCCTCCGACCAATCGTCGAGATATTCGCTCTTCAAGTTTTGACATCATCAATATAGAATTATTTCTACAATAAAAGAGACCTGTAATGAGAGGGGTCGGCTTCCAGGCTTTTATTACATATTTTTGAAGTGCACACATTTTATACTGCTATATCAAAACAAGTGTACCCTTTAATAATACGTAATGAAAACTAGTAGTTAGGTACCATTAAAAATGTATGCCCTCCTTGATCATGCCGCACCGACCGCAAATGTAAAGTACGTAGATTGGTCGCAAAGTTAACCAACCAACCATAATTGTTCATACCATAAAAAAACCTCTTACCAAAACTTGTTTGGTAGATATTATGCATCACCAAATCTACCAAATGACTCAAAATTAGATTTGCCACTGTTGCATATCATCTCAGTCATTGAAAATGTTAACGTTCAACGGAACTTGAGTGGTAGGTATACAGTCCAGCGTTCCTCAAAGTGAGCTCCGCGGAGCCCCAGTGTTCCGCGAAAGTTCCGGAAGAGCTCCTCCGCCATTGGTGCAAGCTAGCAACCTTCACACGTACATCACGCCGCACAGCCAATCGCACCGTCTAAAATTTAACCGGTCCCAGCAAGTCTCTGCTTGTTTTCTCAAAAAATTACCTGAAATGGACAGATGGCTACAAATTGAAGCATGAAAACAACAACGTATTTCTGAGGTAACGCCTGGGCCTTCTAACGCAGGTATTTCCTTTAAAAACATCCGCACTTGTGGGTGCTAAAAGTGGATATTCCATTTTTTCAAAAATGTCTCCGGGGGAGGATCCCCCCCCCCTAGTCATTGGGGTTACGTGACCCCCCCATACTCCCTTGTCGAATACGCTTCGCCCAGCAAGGACACCCTTGTAGGGGCCCTGTGGGCTCCACCATCTTAGATTCCACTTTCTAAGGGCTCCCCTGTTTAATAAAGTTTGAGAAACGCTGGTATACACCATAGTTACATTTTCAGTGTGCTCTGGAATCAACACTTCCAGATTGAATAGCGGAGGGCTGAAAGCATACCTAACAGGTTTAAAAGCTACTAAGAATGTTGATATAACAAGTCGCGTGTTGCTGTTCTAGAGTTGAAAGTAATACTTATGGGGCAGCTTGTAAAAATGTATTTGAAGTAGAAAACCCACCTTCAGTATCAAATAGAAAACTCGAAAATGAAAGATTGTCTCAATGGGTATAGAAAAAACCGTCGTTCAATATGCTTTATCGACAATGAGATAAAATAATCGGAAATTTCTCTGAAATAATTAACAATCAAAAATTAAATTAAGGAATCAATGTGTCTTAAAACGAAGCTTGATGGAAAAATTATGGAACTCCTGCAATCCATGCCCGTACAAATTGTGCGACTGCCTACTCCTGTTACTTCTGACTAGAGAATTCATACATAAGAGTGCAATTCCATTTAGCTTTTTATTTTTTTTTTTATTATACCTACCATGCATTTAGCTTTATTTTTGTTGCAGTTTTTTTTCCTGAAGTATGTTTACGATTTATTAGCATTTGGTATTCCAAAAAATGTATGTGACGTGTATACCATTTTTTTGCGTGTGAAGTAATGATGGATTCTTTTTGTGACTAAAATTTTATGTGATTGTGATAAAAATGTAAATTCCCTTTTATCTTAATTTGTAGAAATAATTAACAGCGTATAGCGATTGCATTAACATTAAATTAAAAAAATTGAGTTAAGTGCTCACTTAATCATATTTGTTAACAATCATGAGAGTCTGCATAGTAGGTATTTTTTTAAGTTTATTGGCACGACCGCCTGGTGCCTACGTTTCTATAAGCCAAAAATTGTGATTTTAAAAGGTTTTGACCTAAAATCACCAGGTTGGGGTTTCAAGTTGTTAATTTCTGTAACGCACTGAGAAGAAGTGGGCAGATGAGCATTTATGCACTTCTAAAATGTAATTATTTTTTATATTGTGAGTGCAAACCAGTCAAGGATATTGAGGATTTACCGCAAGCCCATGACATGTCGTTTGAGGAAAGATTAAACAAGACAGTTTTACAACAACTTCTAATACCGTAATTGAATTACCATGTTTTTGTCAGCTATAAATTCCGTTATAAATGAAGTAATTACAAAAAAATGTTCAATCGCGATAATTCTGTATTGAAAAACTGCTAAAACCTGATGCATGGCGCGCTTTCCCGTGCAAAAAATTGGAACAGTACCTGTATATTTCGTTACCATTTTGAAAGACGCAAGATTTAAATCGACTGGTTTTAGAAACACATAACTCATCGTATATAAGAACACAATATTGTTGGTGTATTGAATACTATACGGAGGTTGGGTCGAGATGGAATTGAGATCGGTAGCCGCGATTGAAGTTGCGATAGCCACCACCGGCAGTGCCGCTACTGCATTGTGTTTCTTACATATCTTACAATGGAATAAACAATCTCTGGCTACCGACTAGTTTCGTACGGTCATTGTGCAGGACGTATATTGTATATACACAGCCTCCATACCAAATACAGATTACAAACTAACAAAATCGCCTTGTTGATCGGAACACCTATCGCGTTATCCTTTATAAATTGTAAGGAGCGCCAAAATTTTTAAATTCGATGCCTGTTACGCTTGATTTAGCTTTTAGCAAAAAGGTTACTTAATATTATGACCGGAAGCTGCATGTAGCTTTCCAACACCTACCACATCGTCAACTTCGTTGACAATTACTACTAATGCGCTTCCAATTCGTTAGTGAAAGTTGGTCTGGGTGAAAATCACAAGTCATTAACCAGAAAGAATTTTTGGAATTAAAATACCGAAAAGCATACATCGAAACCAACAAATTTCTCTAATTCTTCTCTCGGAAGATTCAAAACATTCCATTTGAATACTTGGGCCCGAAAGTTTCAATTCGTACATCAATTTGATGTCATTCTGTACAAAATATATTTCTGACCTCAAGTTGTGTAAGACAAATAAAAGGATCGTTTGAGATGTACCCAATGTAAATAGAAGAAAGCTATTATCGTGTAGAATTACGTCATTGTCAATACATTAACTTCGCTAATTCTGTCCAGCACTTAATCTTTG